GAAAACAGGCCCAATAAAAGCTGTTGAAGCCATGATTCCAAGTAGACCATCATGTGTTTTTAAAACAACACAGAACTACAGACAGCTTATATTCTGCTCACAGCCTCTTTCCTTCTCTTGGCTCCAGGATGTCTCTCTTAAAGGTAGGGACGTTCCTTCCATCTTCTGTAAACTCAGCCCCTTCCAAGCTGCTTCTCCCTTCTGACTTGAAAAAGCTTTGAACTACAGATACACTGGGCTTGACTGAGCAGTGTTTTAATCCATCTCCGTTCAGCTTCAACTGGTAATGTTTATAGAGGTCTTAAAAGGGCAAAAAAAATGGAGTGCAGCATACAAATAAGCCACAGAAGTCCCAGATAAGGGCATATTTTTGTTTAGAAGTCCTGTAAGATCCTTTTGTTTGTTTGTTTGCTTTCCCAAAGCAGGAGCCAAAACATGGAAAATGCTTCTGTTTGCCTCTTGGCTAAAGCACTTAACTGGCTGCCAAGTGTGTTAGCCTAAAGAAGAGCGTGTAACAGCAGAGGAGAGCAGCCCGCTCGCTGCAAAGCGCGGGGAAGGGAGCAGGGCAGCGTGTGCAGCTGGTGCGCAGGCTGTTCCTCCCCTGTCATATCAACATCGGATGTATCTATCATAAAGCGCAACGCTGAATATTCACTGTGCACTGGACAGCAATATTTCATTTAATGCATCATTAAGAACCTGCATTGATTCCAGCTAGTCATATAACCTCAACCTGCTCTCACTTTAAAGCAAAAGCAAAGCAAAGCGAAACAAAACAAAAAATACCACCACAACAAGCCCTCATCCTTCTCTCCTTCTCTCTCCCTGGTCACCAGATAACTAGAACTTGGGTGCCTGAAGAAATAGGCTTTCTTAGCCTCATCTTTCTGGGGGACCAGAATGCCATGTATTGCGCTGTATGACTTGGAAAAATGCCAAAGACTCCAGTGAGGATTTGTGGGTTTTTTTGTAACAAAGCGAGATTTGTTCTCCAGCACTTATCCGTGTATCTAAGCGAAGCATTTGAAAGAGGTCTGATCTGCCCCGTTAGTGCTGGAGTCGGGTTGATTTGGAGTAAAGCTAGATTCAAACCACAGAGAAAAGGAATGAAAAAATCACAAGAAAATAAGCTGGTGGGATCACTAACCTGGGCCTCACCTACCAGCTCAGTGGGCTGAGAAACACGCTGTTGGGCAGTGTGCTTTGGTGCTGCTCTTTAGAACAGTGCAAAGAACAGTGAGAAAACAGTATCAGCTTAAAAGGTAACATCTATGTCCATATTTCAGTTTGAGGGAGAGTTCAGTGGATTTAGCTCATTTTGCCACATATGTCCATAGCTACGTGTGGATTTGGGGTCTGAGTGTAGAATAAGAATAATATGAAAATTCTGCAAAACTAAGGCTTTGTGGTCTCCCTCAAGGATGCTAGCATTTCCATGCTTGAAAAGGCAAGAGTCCTCTGTGCTACATATGTGGTGATGTTGCAGAGAGGCACTTTTCTTTCCAGTCTGCAGGAGAATGGTTGGACCACGAACACTGAGCCCCCGAACATCTTTTCTGGGCTGGGATGCTGGTGTTGAGCCCATTGTGAACCCAGCTGCTGGTGAAAAAGTGCCAATCAGGAGAATCTGAGAAGACAGCTGGCCAAAAACAACTCTTATCATCTCGTTTCTATGGTTCTCACTCATTTCTCACCATGATCTTTGGCAAGCTACTGAAAATTCTAGTTAAATTTTCCCAGAATCACAGAGACTGATAATCCTCAAAGGAGACCTACATATGCTAAACAGTTAGAAGAGTGATCTCTGAAGACTAGAAGTGCTGTACACACTTGCTAAACTCATGTTATCTTACAGAACTTTTACTACTTGGTTACACAAACAGTCCCTCTTCCTCAACTAAAGAAAATAAATGGGGAAAAATGATAAAAATGTTGCCAGCATCATTAACAATCACTCTTAGTCCTGCATCCGTCTTCCCAACAAGAAACACTCCTTGAAGTCTTGTCTTCAAAAGGAGAGGCTGCCACTTTGTCACTTATCTGTGCATCATCCTGGCCCAGCCCTGGGGCAGTGCACAAGTCGTATCACTTCAGCACACACTTGGCTGGTTGACGGAGGTGCAACATCTTCCCGAGAAAGGTGACAAAGGCTACCAGAAAGGCTTCCTCTCCACAAATGGACTGATTTTACTGCAAATGACATTGTCCAGGGTAGAGTGAGAGCCTTGCATTCATTCCTGGCCATAATTTCACAACAGAACTCTCCTTCTTGTATTTTACCCTCTCATTGCTGCTATTCAGCTTTTTTTTTTCCTCCTCTGTCTTCAGATCCCACAGCATCTGGTGGCAAATCAAACATGGTAAAATGTTGTTTTTGAGCTTAATAGTATTTTCCAAGTCATTTATTTACCAAATGCTCTTAGTGGAAGTGTTTTGTTCTGTATGTTAACAGGTGGTGCACACTCAATCTGAATGTATGGGTAATCAAATCATTGCAATGGACAAATCTCTCAGGGTTTTATGTTGAAGTTGTGCAAGTCGTCAAAAGTTCAGAGATTGTATATTTTGACTGTTTGAGCCTTCTGGCCACTCCTGCCCCCAGACATGGGCATGGATTTTGCAATCATATTATGTGAACTGTTTTGGCTTTTCTTTTCTGTGCCTCTTTTATTTATATTGAACAGCTCAAAACAGTCCAGAACAGGTTTCTGCACTGACAGAGGGGCAGAAAGAATGGGGAGTGACTTGCTTTTGAGGAGGAATAGCTAGTGCTCTTATCCAACATAAAACTGTTGCTAAAAATTAACTTAGGTCGGTTATCTTCCCCTCTTTGGTCAGTAGATCCAAGGCTTTTTGCTCTGTGCTCTTCCTTGGAGAGCCAAGTATAGATTCAGAGCTCACCAGATGTGTCTTGCTCTTCAGAGAGCATCTTCCCTGGTCTCCCATGTCAGTGGTTGCAGATCCCAAAGGGAATAGAATTAACCACATAAATATATAATTGCTATATATTTATGTCAGTGGCCTTTGGGTCAGACAACACCCCAACTTGAGATTAGTCATCTCACATCTGTGGGACAAAAAAATGTATATAGAAACAGTTACAAGCAAAATGTAAATTTTTTTCTTTCCCCCACTGGAAACTCACAGTTTGCTTTCAAGAATGATAACTTTTATCTGGTTTCTTATTCTTAGGGCACCAGTAGAAATTTGGAGTTACACATTATAACTTCTGTGACTCCTAAATCTAATGGGCCCTTTGCAATGTTTTACTGTTTATCAAAGCACTAAAAACATTGTACATCTCTATTATCAACCAAAAGAGAAATTCATTAAAATGGGACCAAGCAGCACTGCCTAAAATCCCTCCATGACACTTTCAACTTCAGAGGTGTATAAATTTGAACTGTAAGCTTAGACATGGAGGTGCTTTTTTTTTGCTTTTTTGTTTTCTCTCCAACTCACCAAAGAACAGAAGCAGATGCAGATTATTTTTTGGATAAGACATCTCTCTTTTGGAATGATTTCACATGCTAACTTTGCTTGGGAACTGCTTCTGTTGGTCACCATGTGTTCAGCACATCTGCTTTGGCTTGTTGTTTTCCCTGAGACTGACAATATTGTGGCAAGACGTCAGAGTGAATTCAGGTGAAAAAAAAGGAAAAGGAAAACTAACATGAAAGAAATGCATTGCAAATCCAAAAGAACCTGGAGAGACTTTGCATCTCTTGATCGTCCATGTGTATATTAGGGTGCATGCAGAGGGGATGAAGGAGTGGGAGGAACTGACAGGCTTGAAGTCGTACCTGGTCTTGGTGTGTCACAGTCAAAAACTCATCTACAGCTATAGAAACACTGGGAGGGTATTTCTGATTTCTAGCCCAGGGGAGAGGATGCCTTCTAAAAGTTGGGAAAATCCTGCCAGTGACTCATCAAGACTGGTTTCACTGTTCACTGCATAATGCACTCATTCATCAAACTGAAGGGTTTTCGATCAATAATGTCAAACTAAAAAGTTATATATTATATATACACGCCCAAACAAGCACTCAGTAATGTATAACATATGTGACGGCCATCATCAAATAAATTACAGAACTGGGAGCCAAATTGAATACACCAAAAATCGCTGATCTCTACCCATCCCTTAGTTTCACTGAGGTCCTCAGATACAATTCACTATTTTTCATCTGTTTCAAACAATTGCCAAGTGAACTGAAAAATAAAACAAAGAAATCAGGAAGTTTTTCTTTCTTCACTCATTCCTCCAGCAAAATGCTACAATGGTGGATGGCTAGGAGACAACTTTGAGTCCCACCATAGAGCACACCTGAGGTCCAGCCAAGAGAAGCCCAGTCTGGGTAACAGTGTGGCACTTTGAACAAGGTAGAGATATTTCTACAGAAAGCAAGGCTAACTCTAAACCAGAAATCATAACTCTAAACCAGAAATCATTTCAGAAAGCATCCAACAGTAGGTTGGGATATGTCATTATTACATCCTTGTTTATGAGAAAGTGGATTCACGTGTGGATGAATGGCATGGCTGGGGGGACTTGGGCACCCTGGGTTCTGTTCCTCATTCACTCTCTAAGCTGATGTCTGTGAAGAGGAAAGGGATGAGAGTAATTATTGATTATGTTAACACTTCCTTCCTTTGGGCTATAGATAAAGCTGGTGAGAGAGAGAGGGAAAAAGAGACAAAACAAGGGCTTTCTGTGTTAACTCATTCAATAACATTTAAATAGTATGTTTAATCTCATTTTTCAAAATGCAGGCTGAAGTAAAAGACCTTTGCCTCCTTTCCTAGCCTCTTGGCAGTTCTGCCACATGGCAACATGTCTAGGACACCTTGTTTTCCCCATTTGTGGCTCCTCACACTGCTAGGGGCTGAACCCTGAGGGCACTTTAATGATCATGGTAGCTCTGAGCACCTGGGGCAGCCACCCACCCAGTAGCCTATAAATCCCAGTTAAAAGGGGGAGTCCTGGTTTGAGCTAAGTTGTAGGAGTTCCTGGCTCCAGATGGGTCCCTCCCTCTGGGTGCTCCTGACTCCCTAGCTAGGCTTTGGATATAGCTCATCACTTTACACTGATACTGGATCCTGTTATTGGTGCTCTGCCTGCTGCCTTTAGGAACTCTGCTCTGTCATCCTTGGCTCCTGGTTCACCTGTTTTCAAGCAGTAATCCTGCCTTTGCTGCCTCCTGACCCTAGGGATAGTGGTTTGATACATCCAGGTAGGCTCTTATTGAAGTTCTCATTCAAGAATTGTGTTTGTATTCAAGTTTGGGGTTTAAACTATGAATTGAGTCAGGCTTTGGGGTGCTACTCTTTATTGTCTGGGAAAAGGAATGGCCCCTCTGAACTCTGCTGGAGTTACCAGTCCTGCCTCTCTTCTGGCAAAGGCTTGGAGCAGTTGCTGGGCAGGGCAGTAAAACAGCTAAGTGTCCATGTGCTGCAAAGGTTTGGTGTCTGCCCAACTATTTTTCTTGGAATTAATCAAAGGTTCTTCTGAATAGCAATGTGTCTTTCCCTTTTAATTATTATGTAATGATTAAAGAAGCAAGAGCTGGCCAGCTAAAGAGCAGCTCCTTAGCCTGGTCCCAGCATCTGGGTTCTGTCCCTACAATAAGCCCAAGAACAGAATAGACCAGGAGTTCTTGTTGACCTCTCCCAGTCGCTCCTGCCATGTAGGTGTCTCCTGCAGTCTGGTGGTGCTGCTCTCCTCCCTGGGCCTCTAGGAGAGCCCTTGGATTGCTGGCTTTTAAGTGAGACTGCTCTTGATACAGACAGGGACTGGGTGGAGAACTTGCCTCTCTGCCTGAAATCTCGTTCATGTGAAAAACCTCTATATGGGGATCCCAAAGTACCTTAAGCTATAGGTATAGAAAGGCATGTGAATTGGAGGAGTTTTATTAAGTGTGCCCAAAATAGAGCAACAAATCATGTAGTTAGCATAGATTTGATTTGGTGTGGGATGCACACTCCAGTACTTGCTTTAGAAAAGCACTTATGTAGAGACTTAAATTTAAGTATGTGATTAAGTACACTGGAATTAACACTAAGCCAGTGCATAAAAGCCTTCATTGTTTTGGGGCTGGGTGCATTAAGCATCCTTCTAGAAAATATCCTTCATTTGCCTATGGGCTTGGAATGAGTGAGAGCAGCTGAAGTGGACTGTGTTTTAGTGCTTCCTATGGAGGATGCTGTTCTAATTTTAATACCTGCAGTGAGATGTTAATGTTAAACTGAAAACCTCGGCATCTGCACCGGTAGTAACAAGAACATCACCAAAGGAGTGGCAGAGCATTGCCATGTGAAATTAGAATCAGACAGGGCACAACTTGATTGTGAGCTGACTTTGATTATGGTCAACAGAATGAACCCTGTTTTAATTGTGCAATTATTTTATATGTTCTTATTAAATGTAGGGAAAAGAGTCCCTCCCCCCTGCTGCTATGGCATTTCCTTTTATTAATTTGAGTCTATGCTTAGGAACAGCTTCTCTCTCCTGCCACCTTATGGCTCTTCTGACTTTCCAAAGCTTTTTGCCCATCTCTGTCTTTGTTGTTTTGCAGATCTTCTCTCTGTTCACCTCTGTGCCTGTTGGCCTGCAGTTCTTGGGTCCTTTCTCCTTTGTGCTCTGCTTCTGTGTGTGTCAGCTCCTCTTGAGTCTGTGCTGAAAGAAGCAGCTTTCAATTCCTGAAGTTAGCATGTGTGCAAAACCAACTCAACTCCCTTTAGAATAGCCAGAGTATAAGCCATGTGTTGGTGATGGTCCACTGATAAGTCCACTGATGAGTGGACCTTTGGCTCCTAGCAGCTAAGGATACAACTTTTTTTATTTTATTTTTTTTTGCTTAACCTTGGTATGATGGAACTTTTTAGCACATGATGAATTCCAGGTGTCTAGGTAGTTCCAGTAAAATAATGAAGCTGCTTGCGCTTAGGTTACCTCTTAAGCATTTGAGTCTTCATCTAGGGAGCATGTTACACTTCTGATCAAACAAGCTGTGCATTTAAGGACTTCTCTGACCTTGCGCGAAGTTTGCAGTAGTTGCAAAAAATACGAAAACCTGAGGTAGTAGGGAGAGGATGTGATTTCATGCATGAACCTTACAATATGTGTGGAAACTTTGGGTCAGGAGGGAATATTAATTCTACGTAGCATTGCACATATATCACAAACCCACATAACGCAAGTCTATTTATGACAAGCTGCTCAAGACATGATTTTTCAGGGCTCTCTTGCCTTGCAGTGTCACTCTCAACCTCTCCCTTCCTCACAGTCAGGCCAATTACCAGGATATCTCAAAAGTTTCTGTCACAATTCGAGGAACTTGTGAAAACAAGTGAAGAATAGATGGAGGAAACCAGAAAAGCTACAGGAATATAGCTGGAGGGAGGAAAGGAAGGGAAAGTCAGTCTTCTACTTCCAAAGCAATTGTGGATTTGGATTGCATGGAAGCCTTCTCATCAGCAGGGAGGCTGACGGGTCTATCGGAAGAGTTCATTTACTTCTATAATAGCAGTTATTTGAACAACCATATATTGATACAGTTTCTAAGGGAGATGCTGCTATTTATTGAGGAATGAGAGAGAAACACTGGTAAAAGTTTCCTTTCTGTTTCTGCAGTAAGTGTGGTATGAACTGCCTACATGTTTACTCTAGCTGGAGTTCACACCGAGGGGTTTAAGTGAGGAGCAATAGAGCAGAAGCTGCTGGGCATGCAGTTCAGGAGCCCTGTTTTCTCTGCTTTGAGTCTTTCAAAGCTTAAGGTGGTCATTGGCCACTGGGTTGATGCATTAGCTCTGCCTTTTCACCCACCCCTGGCTGAGAGGGGGTTTGGGCTGGGGTCCTGAAAGGGATTCTTGCAGTCCCTCCTGACCGTGGTTTTCTGTGGATAGCTGTGTGCTTGGAATGCAGTGTGATACAAGATCAGATAATATGCAGTCCTGAAGCTGCTTGTGTGGAGAAAGCAGGGTTATTCTGATAGATGGTGGGCAAAAAGCTTGAACTTAGTCAAGGAAGAGGTTGTATTTTATTCATCACATGAAAAAGACTTCATTTGGATTAACAAATAAAGTTAGGATATTAACTGAAAGTCCACTTTTTTTTTAGTCCACTTTTTTTTTCTCCTTTAAAATCATATGCCAAAATAAATTCCACTGCCAGGGTAAGAACATTTTTTTTTTTTTTTTTTGCTTGCTGATAAAGACTCAGAGCATCATTATGAAGCCCAGCTGGACACCAGATGAATATCTGCACGCACTATTTTATCTGGTGTAGTTAAAAAGGAGCTCAGTTACGAAACATGGTCTTAGACTAATGGCAGAATTTTCCTCCTGTGCTTTCCAATGTTACTCTCCCATTCTTTTAATTAATGCCAGGTACATATTTATAATGAGAACTAAGGGAGTTTATTTTCCCTTCCCATACTCATATGCTGGCTTCAGTCATACCTTTGGCATCTAGATCAAGGTTCAAGCAATATGCTGAGGATCTGGGTTCTTAACCAGTTCCTAGTCCTTAAATACTGATGAGAGATGATGAATATTATTGCATAGTGCATCATAGCAGGCAGGGATGGTTCTGCTCTTTTAGCAAATATACCTGCAATATTTTTACCTCAAATATGCCGTGAAGTTGCCTGCTGCTCCTCCACTATTTGCTTTGTGTTTCCATTTTGGGTACATGTTGCAGTGTTTTGCTCCTTAAGAGGTGTGTGATGAGCTCCTGAAGAAAAGAGAAGGATTTGTGTTTGTGAATTGTGAAATAATGTGACTATTACTTTTAATATTGGTTTTTGAGCTGCAGGTAGTCCCAGAGGGATATTATTAGGGCCTGGTTGTTGAAATTGTCTCTCTCTGTCTTTGCTAAACATGGAATTGCAAGTAGAAAACTGAGGAAAGTAGGACAAGCACAGGCTGTCTGATTTAATGTCTTTTATAGCATAAGAGTCTCACCAGCTATGTAATCTGAGGGGTAGAAGAGAGGAAGAAGGATGAGCACCTGAACACAAGTTATGTTTTGAAAGAAGTAATGAATGTCTATATGCTAAATCTTGATCTCCAATAACAAAGGCTGAAATAATTTAGTTATTTACAAGAAAATTTCACCTACTTAAAAGCCGGTATCTTCCTTACTACTAATCTCTTAAATTTTACTCTTTACCTAACTGACATAATGCTATTTCTTTAAGAGGCACTCTCCAAGATTGTAAATGAGGGGCAGGAGAGAATGATATCTGGGATCATTTTGTGCTAATATAAATTCTTCCAATATGTATTTGTACCCATTTGTAAGTAAAGATAAAACCTTGCCTGAACTGTAAATCTACTGTTTGTTCAATGACATTAAACAATTCTTTATTTGCATCTTGGCAAAACAGCTGATAACTCCATCATTAGTGCAATATTATTGCATCACTGCTGGTGGAGCTGCTTGGATGAAAAAGGAAATTTGGGGGCAGAAGGAGAAATGCTTGGAAACTTGATTTTCATCGAACCAGGATATTGATCTGACTGCTGGACCACCAAGGCACAGTGCATTGGTTTCAGCTTCCCAACAGATCTTGTCTCACTGGCTCTTAAACCTGCTAATGACAAATTTGGAGAACTCCAGATATATCTGCACAAGCTCAGCTGCCAGGTCTCTGTTGCACCTCTTGTACTGCAAAATCAGTCTAACGTAACTGAAAAGGAGTGTGGACTCCTGGCTCCCCTTCCTGAGGGATCTTCCATGCCAAAATCTTGTAGGTGGCTCAGCTGAAAGCAATGCAGATATGCAAAAACTGAAGGAAAAGCCTGTAACACTTCAGAAGCCTGAAGTGTGTGGGAATTCATCCCTGCTGTAGACTAAAGACACACAAAACTGGAGGAGGTCATGGCACAAGGCTGCCTGGGAAGGGGCAATGCCCCTTTTCAGAGGTGAGGTGGCTGCAGGTTTGCAGCACTTGTGTACTCAAGGCTCTGAAAGCAGCAAGAAGGATGGGTGCAAAAGGGATATAAAACCAGGTCCCTTCATACTTTCTAGTTTTGCTTCGAGAAACCTTGTTTAAATTTCAGTGGGAATTATTATTCTTAAAGACAAGATAGTCCTGTCCTTGAAAGCTGATAGACCTACTTATGCAAGGCTTATAGGGATGGTTGAAATGATCATCCTTGCTTCTTGAGCTAATCTTGATATATAACGTATGGCAAATATTGCCATGTTGCTTTTAAAAACTGCCAGTGAAGGGAAATTCCAGAGACAGGAAATGCAATCTTTCAAAGGATTAAAAGAGAACTAACTAACATGAATCAGATCATTAGCTTTGTATTTTCTGTTCCACCTTCTGATGCCCATATTTCACTCATGAGGATGAGCTGGAATGACTCCAAAAAGCTAAGTGGAAATTAATTTCTCGAAGGCTGATCTGGAAGTTAAGATGCATTTCAAAATCACTTGCTGTACACATTCCATCCGTCTGCCCTAAAGAAAGAAAAATAATGCTTTATTTAGCAAAATGAAGTACCAATTATAATGAATATGGGTGAGCCACTACAGGAGGCTGCTGAGAGATGTTGCATCAGCTACTTGGAGAGCATATTTAACATGCTTAAAAGTCCTTAAAAGAGTTTAAGAAAGCTGGGAGAACTGTGCAAGGAGACTTGTGCACACTGATTTCACAGACCTTTAAAGTACTGTAACTGTGCTTTTGAAGTGACCTACTATATGATGCATATATTGCAGGAAATTTGGGAGAAATCAAATCTTTTAATTAACATTCAATGTTCTGTTCTCTAATAGACCATTTAAAGTTATTTTCAAAATGACTGAAACAGGTGATGTTGAAGCCCATTTTTAAATAATATAGATATTTTTCTAAAATATCAAGCTTAGGGAAGATGTGATTTCTGACAGACCAGTGTTTTGTGACAAAACTCTTCACAGATTTCTTTTAGAATAAGTTGTAGTGTGAGGAATCCCTATTGCCAAAAAGGTGGTTCCTCGTTGTGAAGAGGACTTTCTTCTCCAGGTACCAAGCAGAATGGCAGAAAAACAGTGGTTAGAAGAAAGTTCAGACTGTAGGCCCAGCCTCAGCAATGTGTCTAATTTTAGGATCGAGAAGTAACTTGACTTATAAATACATTTAAGGTCCTTGAACAAAATATTAAATTAATGGTGAAAAATATTGTAACAGTGATTAAAGCATGATATAAAAGTGTATTTTATAAATATTATACTAGCTAATCAAGCTATTTGCATTCTTTTTAGCTATGCTTAGAGATGGTTAAAAGGAATAATAGCAAGACTGATGCCTTCATTCTGAGAAGTCCTGGAAAATTCCCTGCTGCTGCTTCTGTGTGCCCTCTAATCACGCTCTGCATCTCTGAACAAATTAATTGGTGCAAACGAGTCACCTATTTTCATATCTAACCTGGAGATCAATTTAGAGATCCCTAATGGCATAGGGTAAGGAAGAATCAAATACTGCAAAGAGAGTAAAGACCATTTAATCCCAGGCCTTTGTACTGGATTCAGATGGCAAGCGAAAGCAGGCCATGGAGTAAATAAAATGCTGACTCTGCACAAGCAAGTGTCAAAATTAATGTGGAACTTAATGGCACTGGTTGCTAGTGCTGACACTTCAGTCAGACTTGGGAGATGAGTTAGCAGATCCCCGTCTAATTTGGAGAAACACCCACTAAATAAGAGCTAAAAACTGAGTGGGATCCAAGAGTGACTTGTTCTTTCCTGCTCTGGCAAGACTCCAGCGGGAGCAAGAAGGTAAGCTGGCAGAGCTGTATGGAGAACCTCTCTGCATTAATGCAGAACTGAGCTTTCCAAAGCTGCTGAGACATCTTTCTTAGGGCTTAAATTAATTTAAAGCAGAAAATGCTGTACCTGTGGAAAAGCTTCTCTTTGTTCCAGTCTTAAGATGTGCCTTTTTATCCCACTGAGCTGATTTGCACTAGCTTAAAGTAGTAATCGCTAATGATTCCTTTTGTTCAGTGTTATCCTGGACAAATTACAGCAATTATCTACATCACAAATATAGGTAACTGTCTTTGATACTTTCTTTAACTGTGCTTCGTGTTCAAATGTTTGATGTATTTAATATGGTCTTTTACACTAAAGGCTGTCCTAAATAAAGTCAAGTGACTTGAACAGTGAAGGTCCATGCCCCTAGGCATGGGTCATCCTACTGCAGAGGAGGATTTTGTTATCTTTTGATTTGCTAAGATGGTAGAAGTGGAGTTTTTTTCATACAAATGAGACTCATTAAACACCCTTCTGGAAAGATGTCAGCTTGTACCCTCCTCCAGAAACTTTCTGGGGACAGAAATAGGCTGCATTAGAGTGCAGCTGCTGATGGTCAAGGACTGACATCCACCTTTAGAGCTGTGTTTAAACTCTTAGACTCTGTGAACACATACAAAGAGGCAGTACACTACCATCAGCTCTATATCCCTTTAGCAGTTTTATTACTAACTTCTCTGCAATGTGTCATGCAGAATGATTAAATTAATGTCTGTTTGACAGCAGTTTTGTTCTGCAGAAGACTGTGCTTGGCAAGGACAAGCTGATAACTGGCAAGAGGGCCCTGGACTTGCAAACTCCTAATCTGGAGCAGTCTTGTTACTGGGTGTAATCATTATTGTCAACACTTGTGCAAATAAACAAAAGGTGATCATTTGAAATGATGCTGTTTCGCATACTGTTGTGCTGAGCAATACACCGCATGTGCAGGGATAAACCTGATCGGCATTAATCAGTTCTGGGGAGACAAGAAGGAGAGAATCTAAAGTATTGACAGTGCTAAACTGCTTCCAGAGGAAATAAATGTGTATTAATCTCCCTTGATATTCTGTTTTTTAGCATACACTAGGTTTTTGGTGACCAAAGGCAGCCCTGGGTGGTGCTCTCAGGGGGGTCTACTTGGTCTATGTGCTGCTAAAAGTGTTGCCTCCTGCCAAAGAACTTCTGTCTCTCCACAGTGGCCGTGTACTTCTGGCTTCCAATCTCCTGTCCCTCCTCTCCGCTCGTGATTCCTGTTCCACTGCTTGGAATCATCAGAGGTATGCAGGTTATTGCTACTATACCAGCATTAGAGTTTAGCCAAAATTTAATTGCAGAGAAGATGTGGTGCTGTTATTGAGCACCTCTAGCTTTGATATTCAACTGCACAGGTGTCTCTTCTCCAGGGTTGCCCATCCCTTGCACTGTCTTAAGCAATCACGGTCAAGCAAGCTAATTGTCTTGGCTAGTGCAGCAACTCGAAATTAGCTCAGTCTATTTTTAAATATGCTGCACTCATAACTCTAATGTTCACTCCTAATATTAGTTTTACTACAATATTTAAAACATGAACTTTGGAAATTTGAAGAGGTCTATTGGAGAGATTTTTCAGCCTACCAATGCATGATGCTAAAAAAGATATCATGTACTGATGGATAATGGCCAGAAGTAGCAGAGATAATTAAGGCAACTCTCCAGTGAGTAGCTAGAATTAACTGTAGGTAGCCAACATCCATATCTAAACCTATTGGGATACAGATAGGATCCTTATCACTAAAGGATAAAACCTAAAGCTAATGTCCTCCTGACTGAATCAGACAGGGCTTGCATTGCACACATTGCTTTATATAAAGCTTGCAGCTAAGGTTTTCAGTGGAACAATGAAATAAATCCAAGGGATGTTTGCAGAAGAATTTGCAAAAAATCATGCAGATAACAATTGTGAAAGAGCAACTAATGTAAGTATAATTTTGCCTTCTGCAAAGCAGAGTGAGATGGGTACATTGTTTTGAGAAAGCACATTAGAATTCCTTGAAATATTTGAATATCTGATGCTGTTTTGGCAGTTTGAATGTCTGAGGGCAGGAGTAAATACTGATTCTTAGACTGTTTTTTGGTGGGTTCAACTGAGTGAGATACTAAACTTTAAAGTGCTGATCCACACAAAAAGATCACAGTGAATGGGATAGCAAGAGTAAGAACATGTCCACTTCCTATGTTTCTCTTTAATACTGTGATGATAATTTCCAACTATTTAAATAAATTCCTAAAGTAGATATCCTAATTAGGTTTCTGCAAATCATCCTAAAATACCTAAGATTACAAGAAAAACAGATGATCAAGATGAGCTTTCTGTTTTATTTTGGTTCTGTTAGTTCATAATTAACAACAAAACCTTCAAGATAAGGGTCCTAAGCTAAAATTGCAGCAAGGAAATCAATTCATACCTAGAAAACAACAGGTTAAAAATAGCGAATATGTCAGTCCCTCATACCTCTTTCAGCAAGAGGAAAGCAAGGTGTATGCTGATTCTGCATCACTGTGGTTCTGCAACTATCACTTAAGAATTAATAGAACATATAGCACGGCTCTCTGTTCCTGCTGCTCTGGTGATACATTGCAATAATATGCCAGTGATGATATTGCAGTAATAAATGATGGTAATATACCATCAGGCCATCATCACTCCAGTGATGTACTAGTGCCATACATCATCAGACAATGGAGTTAAAGCATTAGTGGAAGGGACAAACTTCAATATGCAAATGCTGAACACAGTGTACAACATAATATGCTGTATGCACTACATATGTCTGTATGGCAGTATGAAGGGCTTAGCGCGTATATAGATTTTTTTACTCATCTATATACCTAAACATCCAAAGAAAGCTTAAATGTTTAAACAATATGATAGTAAATGTAAGGTGCATGCTGCAGACTTTATGCAGTGTGTTTGGGTGCATGCACTGAGATGTACACAGGCATGCTCATGCTTCAGGGCAGCTTCACACACACTGTTGCCTTTGCTAACAGCATAATAAGAAAATCTGAGGGAAATTCTTAATCTAAACTTGTGTCATTTAGGATCTTGTTAGCTCTTGGGGATATAAACCTTGTCTTGACACTGGTAATTTTCCAGCTATATGTTGTTGACCCACTGTATTTACATAGGATATTTGGGGGGTACATATTTTTGTCTGAGGGTATTAAAGGGCTTGCAAACATAGGAAAGCAACTATTGCACCCAAAAGACAGGCTAAGACAAAGAAATTTGTTGCAAACAGCAGAAAGGCTGGAGCTGCTGTGGGATCAGGGCTCTGGATTGTCACTGTTCTGCTCTAGCTGAGTGCTGCAGTGTGAGTTTGATTGCTGCTTTTAGTACTTGCACATCAAAATAATATATACGGCCTTGGCACGCTGGTCAGGGTTAGCATGTTTTCAGTTTGCTTGTTCCTGAGATGATGATTACTGCCAAAAGGCTCTTGAACAATTTCTTTTTGAAAAAGCAGCTGACATTAGACCTGAAACACATGCAGATGGGCCAGGTAATTGGAGGAAGAGAACTTGAAGATATTTCTCATGGTTCGTTTCTTTTATTTGGTAGCTCTCTTCACTGGAAACCTATGCAAGTGTAAGGCAAAACAGCAGTGACATTTTCCCCGAAATCTTCTCTTGTAATATAGATATACTTCCCGTGAAGCTTCCTGCATAACCAAGCTCCCTAAAAGCAATGTGAATGTGGGGAGTTGCACTGAGCTGTAGGTTTGAAACTAGGCAGAGATCTACCGAAGAGGCTAAAAAGACAACCCCAAGGCAGCACAGTTCTGGGAGAAAGCTTGTTTTTAGTTGAAGAGCAGTTTCAGAGGTTCAGTTCTAATGAGGATAAAGCGAATGAAGCTCCGTACTTTAAAGATTTTTGTTAGCCTCTCTGCTAAATTTCTCCAGAGGAATTCAGTGTCTGGGTGATCAATAAATATACTATTGATAGAAAGGGAAGGAAGAACAAATCATTAGAGGTTGGTTGATTTGCCCCTATTGTTGATCAGCTCAGCATCTGTTTACTACTTAAGAGTCACGAAGACCATCAAATTCATCTGGGAATGAAGTATGATTTTGTTGGCTGGTAGAAATTTGTTTCTCCTGGTGTGGAAGAATATTAATTTCCAGAGCTGGTGAGAGGATCCTCTGCATGAGCAATCAAATTAGTCACTGCTACTGTTTTTAATGTAAAATAGCTAGGAGGGATGGTTATATCTAGGTGCATAAAAAGCATTGTTCACAAAGCTAGGAGCACTTTAGTTTTGCTAGGAGCACTGTGATACCCGAAATGTTACTACTACAAATTTGGTTCACTGAGAGATTTTCGCATCTTTTAGAACATTATAATTCAACTTTTATGATTCTGTTGAGAGAGTCAAGGTCACAAGCTGAAGTTAAAAGCAATTAGAAGAAAAGCTGTCTGGGGAAAGTGAGGACCTCCAAACATAAGGTCCATGTTGTAACCAAGCAGAGAATTCAAAGCAACAGGGGAAACTGTAGTTCCTGCTGGTTTTGAAACATTTTCTGTGTTATCAACTCCTCATAGCCTCAGTTAGAAAAATAAACCACATTTTAATATAAAAAAATCTATTGATGAAAAACATCATAACCATTAAATCTCTCCTATCCTTGGTAAGCTTCATGGTTAATAACTTGAAATAGATATTGGGAATGTGAGATCTGGGTAACTTTAGATTCAAGAGCATGGATTCTGCTAGATACTTGTGTTCAGCAAAGATATTCCCACCTCAGGTGTATTTTCCCTCTTCGGTTACTTATGAGGTAGCTTGAGCTGAGTATCTTTCTTCTGTTAGACCTCTTAGCCCACCAATGGATTTTCTTTTTATTATTCTTGTTTCATAGTTTTACTTTGTCATGTCTAGCGAAATGTTTTACTGAAGTCTAAATATATTTATTAAATAAGCCTTCATCAACCAGGCTTATAATCTCATTAAGAATGTTGGTGCTCTGAGAAGATTTGTTTTCCATAAAGACTTTGTTGACCAGCATTAACTGTAGCGTGCACCTCTAAGTCTCTGTTAATTGAATTAAATATGAGCTTTGCTGTTGTTTTTCCCATATGGATGTCAGCTTGACAACTTCTGCCATTTTTTGACCATCTTTCCCAAGTCTCTTCAAGAACTAGCAAATAACTAGTTTTCTTCCTTTTTTTTGGAATTCTCCCCTATCCATGGTTACTGAAAAGATCAGTGCTAGCTGCCAAGAAAGTGCCTCAGCCAGCTGCTTTAAAATTCCTTAATGCAAATTACCCAGAACTTCTGATTTAAATATGTCTAATTACAATAGCTGTTGATTAATATCCTCTTTAGTTATGGTAGGAATAGAAAGTTTATTGCCATGATCATATGAGAAATGTATCATCTTCTCCCTCCTACCGCTACAGAACAGATTTTTACTGGATTCTCATACATTTGCCTTTGGGAATAGACCCATCAGCCTCTTTCTGGGTTCTTTCACTTCAGAAATCTTTTTTTACATTTTTTTCCTTATTTAGCTTTTCTTGTCAATTTTCTAGAGTTTGTCCTCTTTTAATATCCATCAGCTTTGCTTTCCCTTCCTTGTCTGTAGATCTCTCATTTATGGGTGTATCGACTTCCTACCTCAGAGGAGTTTCAGTTTATTATGCTAAGATTGTCCTGGTTAGTTTCTATGCAGATACTAAAATAACATTCTTAAACACTTCTAACAAAGCTGTCATGTTTTGTGCTTAGTTTCATGACTGTTCAGTTTTGGCTTTATAAAGCCAAACTTGTTAGGGTTTTGCTATATGCTGTAGTAGATACTATACTGGTTCAGGCTTCAATTTGCTTAAATATAGAAACATTAATTGAATAATCACCATTTATCATTCACTACTCACACTAACACTGATATAAGAAGTAGCCAAAAGAGCTTTCTTTTAGCCAAGAGCGTTACAAAGATGAATAAAAGAATTGCTCATAGAACGGTTGTGTTCACTCTGACGCCTTCCTCTCCAGTAAAGGATTCCCAGGTTTCCCACAGGGAAGATTGATAAGTTCAGCTAGGGAAAACGTCAGCGTGTTGGAGGAGTTTTGCAGCTTCCCAGAGGATGTGGCTGCTCCTTCTGGCTGGACCCAGGCACAAATTCCCTCTTTCTTCCCCAAGGGCAGGGCTACTGGGCAAGCCCTGTGCTGAGGATGGGCAGCTCTAAGATGTCCCCTGTCCCTGGGGATGAACATTAACCTTCTTACTACGCATCTGGAGGGCCCTGTAGGACTTGCACAGGAAAGGTTCAGACTCTGGGGGCTCTGAACACTTGTCTGGCCCCAAAGGCTGCTCTGATGCTTCATCGGTTTGAGGTCTGGGATAGCTCTGGAGAAGGAAGATCTGAGCCGGACTGCTCAGCAGACCTTGCTCTGCAGGTTTCTTTGCAGCTCCCCTGCTTGGACCATGCGGGCTGAGAGGAAATGATGCTCTACGAGTCTGTGTGAATGTTCGGGCTGCTTGCTGTTTCAGCCGAGGAAGGGAAAGGACTGATATTCCCTGCTCCTGCCTCTGTCCAAAGCTCAGTGTCACACTTTGGAAATTACCCCTATTTAATTTGCTTCCCTGGACTATGATGTCTGCGCACTGTGTTTTCTCCCTTGGACTTGTGTTTGAATCTTTTCCTCCCAGATATTTTAATTGAAAATGGTTAACATGCAGCACTTTCATTAAGTGCTTAGCAGAAGCAATTAGAGCTGAGTTCAATATCTGTTATGCAGCTTGCAAGGGACCAAAACTGGCGCACATTTTATCTTGAAACCTACAAAGGGGAAAAAGACTTTTCCAGTAGCTCCTTCCCAGTGCAGTTCCTCTGCCCTCAAAGGTGTCTTTATCAACAATATTTGCCAGCAAAATAGCCAGCAACAGCACACCATGCTCACGAGGAGCAGACTTGAGCTCTGCAGTGGGCTGGGAAGTCGCTCAACGTGCCACCAAGTGATCTCTCCAGGGTTCTGGTGCCACCTCCTCCATGGACCAGGCTGAGTTTGGAGGAGGTGATGGACTGGCTGCAGGAGGGTGAGTCCTGGCTCCAGCCCATGTGGTGTGACAGTGGGTGTCGTGGCTGGAGCTGGCACCCCGGGAGAGCCCCTCACATTGAAATCCCTCTTCCCAAATAACACCTACATGTAACCACGCACCCAGGTGTGACTGATGGCACAGTGTGGCCAATAGGTCACCACGGTCTCTGTAGAGCTGCTCTTCCCACTCCTCATCCAAAACAGGAGCAAAGGATTCTTTCCACTTTCAATTTTTAGACTCTAAGCTTAAATGAAATATATATGTGAAATCCCTTGACATGCAGTATTGTATTTTATAAAATCATGACAAAGAAAATACATTGAAGGCTTGCCAAATTTCTCCTCTGTCCTCCGTCTCTCACTAGGCACCTTTTGCAGAGCTGGGAATACTCTCTCCTGGTAGCTCGGCATTCATGGTAGGTTGCTTTGGAGATGACAAGCCATAAGAAAGAGAAAAAGGAGAAAAGTTACAGCAAATTAATAACTCCCCTCTGCTGAATATGTTATTTCTATTAAAATTTCAAAAGAGTTTGAAGTGACAGTAAAGCGTAGTCTTTTTTTAGAATGGTTTCCATAACACTACACAAGAGTTGCCAATGGCACTAATGCCTTTTCATACACACAGAGCTATTTAGCTGACAACAGTGTTTAAGCCATTAAACAAGATAATATTGCAACTGTTATGCAATGTTAAAATTCTTTCCGAAAAGAGGTATTTGGTGTTTTATTCTGAAAGTCGGCGTTTGTTCCATATTCATTTATATTTTCTTTATTAGAAATGTATAATTTAATGTAATATTCAAGGCCCTTAGGATATACACTCTGTTACCTATAAAACATTCATGCACAGTGAACACTTTTTTTGGTGCCAGTTCTTGGCTTTGTACATCTGCTATACAATGCTGAGTATTCTAACTAACAACATGCCTTAATTGAGTTTAGGTGTGTGAGTCATTTATTTAAATTTGGTAGTGTGAATAATTTATTTCAATTTACATTTTAATTATTTTACCCACTTTTTGGGAGTAACCTCATTTTCTAGCTTCTAAAAAAAATAATCAACATATGTTTACTGCAGCAGCATTCACACTTACTAAATTCTGAGAAGTTTACTTCTAAACTGAGAAGTACTAATGAATTATTCATATATTGGGCATTAGCAGGAATTAAATTAGGATGCCCAAACCTAAAAGAAACCCGAGTGGATATCCAGTGGTCCCTGGAACCGCCTCAGGATCTTTCATCTGCCATGGTAAGCTGGACTTAAACCTTGCTTAAGAATGGCCAAATACAAATATTTTTGCCAGCAATGAGGGCTTCTATATAATTATTTATATCTGTAGCTGAAGAGTGTGATGCCGCATCATGTATGACATGGACTTTCTGGTGGGGGGGCTTTGTCATTTCCAGGACCATTTCTAACACGAAGGAAATGTTTTGTTTCCTTCATCTACTTTGTGCAAATGGACCAAGCCAGGCATTTCTTTACTGCATAATTAATAGAAAGTTAAGGGCTAAGATATGCATTTGATTTCACGCCTGTGCTCATTCTGTTTAGGGGCTTCACAAGGGAGGAAACAGAGACACGTGCCATCTCAGAGAAGTGTTTTGTGATGCCTTTGTGTGACCTTTGATCACTCAAAGGTGATAAACGTGCTCTGAGCAGCTGGAGGCATCTGTGAGCTGGTAGTGAGTTTCCTGGGAACACCTCAAAGAAATCCAAGCCCAAAGGACTTGTGGCCTCCAAAAAGACCTTTGATTTTGGTGGGAAAGCAGCAGTAATTTGAAAAGGGCTACTTGTTTATTTACTTACTAATTAGCAAAAGCTAATTACTTGTTCTCTGAACCGTCAGATTCCTTTAAAAATGAGTGCAGGAAACAGAGATACCTCAAAACAAAGGAAAAAAAGTGTGAGTTTGATTAATACTTGCGAAGTTTTAATTAATTTTAGTGCTAAGCCAGTAGTGGTGACTGCAGAACCAAAGGGCTCACTGGAGTGCCCAGGTTTCATGATCTTCTGCCCTTTGAGTTGTCCGGATGGAAGGGGATCATCCATGGCCTACCTGGAGCCACTGTCACCCCCTTACCGGGATGGAAAACTCAGATGCTCTCAGAAAAGCAGGTTAGTTCATATGGGTGACTTTACCTGGTCCTTGTGCTGGTTCCTGGCCGTTTGTCCTAAGCTTTGCACTCTGGACCCCTAGGTTAACCCTTGGGCTGGGCCTGCTCAGGTGCACGCTCAGCTGCAAGACTGCAGTCCGACTTAACCCCTGCAGCGCTGCTGCCTTTTTAAGGGCAGTTTCCCTGCTGCAGACAGCAATAAATCGCAGTCGCTCATCCGTGGCACAGTTTAGTAATGTGTTCACTAAGAGCATCTCTAGCACTTCTCTCCAGCTCTTTATGGGGTTACTTGTGCGTTCAGCCTCAGGGTCTGGCTGAGTCTTAATGTTAAGACATACAGTATGATCTGATTTTGGAAGAGCTCAGTATCTAAGAAAATTATCTGAAGAGTGAGTGCAGCTATTGCAGAGCGTCCCTCCCCGTTGACAGCTGCCTCTGCAGTGAATTCCAAGATGTTTCCAGGAGAAGCACTGGCCCCGTTTTACACATGCCTCTTAGGGAGTGCGATGGCTAAAGTGCTTTTACAAGCTCAAAAAGATGTGTTCGAGAAAGGGCGATAAAACTGCTCAGCATTAAGTATGTAAAGATTTTTCTTTAGCAGTAAAGACAGTTTGTGACATTTTGCCATCAGTCTTGAATGCAGGTGTGCATAAACACATACACCTGCATGCCTTTAGTCATCACTTGTTATACTTTTATAGTCTTTTCCAAGTACTATGTAACTTTAAGCAAAAATATATTCATTATTTTCATCGTGAACATCTTCGTTCCATGGATTTCTAAGTGTGCATATATATATGTTATTCAGCACTTTCTATTTTTATTCATGCCTACCTTTTCTTACATGCAAATGCACCCTGAGATATTATGATCTCCCTGCTTCTGTCGATCTATGGCTACATAAATGTTTCTCTATGTAAATAAATTTCACCCATTTTACTTTAAAATGTAATTTTTGTCAAATTCACTTTTACTGCTAAATATAGCACATAACAACCCATCCATAAATGGACACCTTGAGAATGGGAGAGGGTAAGCCAGAGATGATACTGGCAATAAAATTCTTCTTCCTTTAGCTACAACAAACTCTTTGAGCATCTTCCTCTTGGCTGTCAGCTGAGACCTTGTCCCAGGCTGGCTGTTTTTTCAGCTGTCGTGGAACACCCAACTGAGCAGGGATGGGGATGGGAACAGGCTGCAACTCGGTAGCTTTTCCTGTGGTGGCAGGGATCAGTGTCCCGGTTGACACTGGGAACTGCAGCTTTCCAGAACCAAATCTCATTCTGCAATGGGACCTAGTGGAGCAGATGCTGCTGCTGGGGGGCAGCCACCTGGGGATTGCTCAAGGGCATCTTCTTGTTGGGGAAAGCATCATCTGGCTTGTTATGGGGTACAATGAGAGATGCGTCTGGTTTTCACTGCGGCAATTCCAGCAAGGGAACTGATGAGCTCGGCAGATGGCTAAATGCCTTGTTGAATCAGAGCCATATAAGATCCCTGCTCACGGGGAAAGAGCTTGGAGAAGGGTGATGAGAAGCCCAAAGATGCAGGTTTCTGGAAAATGAGGTGCTGGATCCCCACAGGATGCAGCAGTGCAGGGATGGAGCGAGGGATATTGCCCTAGCACGAGTGGTGGCACTAGCCACCATGGCCATGCCTTGAGCCACTCGCTCTGTAACCGAGCAGGTCTTTGCCCAGGCCCTTGCAAACTGCAGTCCTCAAATCCGCAGTGCCAACAGCAGATGCATCTTTGTGGCCATGGTGAGATGTAGCGCAGAGCTACCTGTGAGCTCTCCTGAATACACGGAGTACAGAGTAGCCTGTCTTGCAGATTCACGTACATCATAGCTATATGAGAATTATGAATAGTTTTTGGACAACCTGACTTCTGTTTTGAGGACCACAAGCAAAAGACCTTCCTGAAAAATAGATAAAATATTCTCATCTCACACCAATTAATTGCTATATGAAAAATTTAAATTTTGATCAAAGAGTTTAATAAAATATACCTTGAAAAAAATCTTGAAAATGAGCATGAGATATTGAAAAACATCCTATGAATTTGAAATACTTCACTTGACACAACATATTAAGTTTTTGTATATTATGGTCCAAGTTCTTAGGTGTTTGGTGGACAATTCCGAGATTAGTTCTCTATCCTCTGGCACTTCCATGCAATATTAGCTGTACACATCATTAGCTGTACATTAGCTGTACTCATCAGCTAATGAGCAAGTGATATGAGTGGGAGAAAGGGGGAAGTTACTGATACAACGAATTGAAAGGGAAGTTACGTGTTTGCCTGTGTTTGACTGTGAGGACACATCTGCTTCCATCTGCTTTCAAGAGTAGATTCATTCTAGACAGCAACTAGTATGAGAGCTGGCTTACTCGATGGCCCTGCACCTGCCTCTGTTTCTCTCCTCCTTTGCGCAGTGGATGTGTTGGGAGATGGCTTGCATCACGCTTTTCCTCGGAGCCACCTCTACTAGAAACAGGATATTAACTGCTTTGCAATAAAGCAGATTCTGCTTTTTGTTCAGTAACCTTGTAGCCTTCAGCCCTGTTCTAAAACCTTGCAGGAGCGGTGTTCCTGAGCGAGCATCCGTGATTTCTATAGGGGAGGAGGAAAGGTATTAAAGATACACCAGAGGAAACAAAAAAGAGAAGCTAACCTTGGAGTAGTCAGTTGGTTGGAGACCCATCATGTCAAATTCTAACCCTCATTACTTGCTCCTTCTCATTGCTGGATTTTATTTTCTTTACATAACTCTTGCCAGCCCCTGCTCTGGCACCGCAGCCTGGGGGTTTCACTTGATTAGTGGCTTTCATTCAGTGTCTCTGCTGGGGTGGGGAGTTGAGGCAGGGGAGTGAGAGGAGGTGTTTGGGGAACTAGTACTGCTTTCCCATCTGGACTCCAGCAGGACTTTCCGGACAAAACCTATCCATCATGCAGAAAGGTTTACCAGCGCTGCAAGAGCTGAGGAAAGCATATGTTTTCTTCCCAACTTTGTTACGAGTCCAGCCCCTTGCTTCGTGGCTTCCATCTCTCTCGTATGAAGAGAGGCTGAGCGAGCTGGGCCTGTTTTCTCTGGAGAAGAGGCGGCTCAGAGGGGATATGATTAATATGTATAAGCTCAGGAAGGGAGAATGCAGGGAGGAAGGGGACAGGCTGTTCTCACTGGTGGCCAGCGATAGGACGAGGGGTAATGGACACAAGCTGGAACACAGGAAGTTCCGTCTCCAGGTGAGGAGGAACTTCTTTACTGTTAGGGTGACAGAGCAGTGGAACAGGCTGCCCAGGGAGGTTGTGGAGTCTCCTTCTCTGGAGGTCTTCAAAACCCGCCTGGATGCCACCCTGTGCCACGTGCTCTAGGTGTGCCTGCTTGAGCAGGAAGGTTGGACTAGATGATCTGTAGAGGTCCCTTCCAACCTTAAATATTCTGAAATATTCTGAAATATTCTGAAATCTCATTCATAGCAGCCTCCTCGAGGGGCCCAAGAGGAGTTCTGGCACAGGCTGCACTGGATGGGGACCATTCCACACAGGCTCAGGGAGACTGTCCTTGGGCTAAGGGGCACGATCTCATCCCAATCACTGCAGTGTAAATCCAGAAGAGCCCATTCAAGCCTTAATCCAAACTCCTCCTGTGTCACCATGAGGAAGGAATGGGAACACCTCAATACTTTGCATGCCCTTCCATGCTTGCTGTGTCAAATCTCCCCACACACCTGCCCACGCAGGACCTATTGCCAGCCCCACAGCTGCTTAAGAGCCACCCGAGCCCCCTCGTGCAGTGGCTGCTATTCTGCTGCTGGAAGCAAGGAGCACATTTCACCTTGCCTTTTCATTTTGGTCTGGAGTGACTACTCATTCTCATGTATCACTGTACAATCGATCCGGAATGTGAATTTCATTCCAAGTAAATAATGGGCATCCAAATTAGTGCAAGTGTAATGGAAGGAGCATTAACTCATTCCAAACATTGGCATTCTCCTGGCCCGAGTGGAAGGCTGCTAGAGCTGCTTAGTGCTTTTAAATCACTCCGCGATGCTCTCTTATTAAATGCCACAGTTTTCAGCTCCATATCGCATTATTACCATTGTTGTCCTTTAGGGGTTGATGTTAATGATGACTGAAAGATCTTAATGAGTGTATGTGCCTTGAATAAGCCCTTTATACACCTTATAAAATAATTACCTGCATTTTATTGAGAACTCTGCCAGGCCAAGCTCACAAAAGCAGTCAGGGGTGCCAATTTAATATGATACGGTACACTGCTTCACTCAAATAAGGCCTGATCCTACACAAGTTCACCTTCATCACTGTGGAGGACAGTGAGTTGCACCTACCACCACTGGGCACGAGGCTGACGAAGAGCTGTGGTCCTGAGGTGCCAAACAGCAGCAATTGCATTTCGGCATCACAAGACATCCTCTTGGTTTGGAGGTGATCTTGTATGGCAGGAGAAACAGGATTTGAAGTCCAGCAGCACAAAGACTCTGGTGATAATTTGTTGATAGCTTGTTAAGCGTTCTTCAAATCATGCTTAAAACCAAAAAAATGCTTTTTTCCTGTCTTGTTCCCAACCAGCCCAAACCAAAACTGTTGACTAATTAAAGAAAGGATAAAAGATATTCACAAGAGAACGACCCACTCTGTCTTCTGTGATGCAGCAGCCTGTCCCTCTGTATGCGCTATAGAAAGGTCCTAAATAGGCATGAAGACCAAGTGAGGCTCCTACCACGTGTGCGGTGGGATGACAGGAGCATTTTGTGTTTCTGCAAGGAAAATGGTCCTGTGAGTCACAGGAAGTGCTTTGCTTTTAGTACTATTGTGTTTGAAACTAAAATTTGGAAATTTATTTCTCATCTCCAACAAAAATCTTTCTGATCTGTCATTGAGGAAATGTTCTTCATGTTTGACCAAAATAAAAGGAGGAAGTCCAAATGAAATATTCCCACATGCTTCAACTGTTAGGAAAAATCATTTGCTGGATGAAATAAAACCCTTTTTAGAAACTTTCTCAGCCAGTGCCAGTTTTTAATTATTATTATTATTTACATAGCAGAAATGCTCAATGAGCTTATCATTTCAAAATATACCCTTCAACAGAATGTGTTCTTTTTATTAATGGGCATATGAAAACTCTTTTCAAAACACTTACTGAACATGTGCAAGAAATATGTGTTAGATCCTGCAGCGACCAGTGTGTCAGCAAAGTTCTTTGCCTTTTTCTCTCACTGTCTCTCTCCCAAGTCAAAGCAGGAATATTGCAATTACTGATGAAATCTGAGCTGCATTAGACAGAAACAAAATGAACAAGGAACCCAGATCCCAAGCTCTGTTGCGGGAGAAATTCCAAATTTTGCGTCACCGCAAACTCAATGTAAAAAATCATGGAAAGAGTGGTGAAAGCAAGGAAAATGACAAAAAGTTTGGGATATTCTTTTCTCTGCCTTATAGTTTCTGAACCTTTATAGTACATTGGTGTCTTATTTTCCAGTTTTTCTTTGGCAATCATGGAGGTGAAGAATATGTTACATATCTTATTGCTGAAATTAGGCTTTCAAAAACATCAAATATAGGAATAGCCCCAGGATGAAGGAGACACAGGCAGTGATGCCCTTGCTCCATGAGACTGCAATTTTCACAGGAGGGCAGTTGTTCATGAGAGGAATCTCCTCCTCCTGACAAAGAAAAGACTAGTAGGGACTGGGGCAGTTGCATGTTTTGGCTCCAAGAAATTACCAGTTGTGCCTACAAAGTAAAATAAACAGCTGTAGCAGAACAAATAGCAAGAAGCTTAAATGATAAAGAAAAATGCCATCTGAAAAAAAATGTGATGTTCAATTTGGAGCAATTGTCTCCCATGACTTATCCTTACTTTCTAGCTGTGAGGAGATAAAATGAAACATGGGAGGGAAGTAACACGGCACTGAGGAC